GAAGTTTCCAAGACTATACCTTCTTGTGCATAAAACTCATGCATTTTGTTTGAAACGAATCCCCTCCCCCCCTGTAGCATCTTATTCGCTTGATTTTCTTACCTAATTGTGTTTTGACCATTTTGTGGAAGTCTATTAAACATGTGCTTGATTCACTATAAGCTGTGAGATCTATACACCTTCTATTGGGAGAAGTATTCCTTGACCTGGTGTTCTCTTGAGATAATGAAGAACTCTTGTAGCTTCATCTAGATGCGTATGTTTAGGATTTGAGATAAACCGACTTAAAACATTCATTGCATACGTAATATTCGGTCGGGTCGCTTGGAGGTAAAGACGCCTACCAACCATGCGACGACATGTACCCGTATCAACGGAGCTTTCTTCACCACCTCTGTCCAATTTGAGATTCTGTTCCATGGGGAATTTGCTAGGACGACATCCCCGTAAACCGCTATCTTCCAAAATGTCCAACTTAAAGAAATATCATCTTTCTCACCTTCCATTTGTGGACCAATTTCATTATTATAAATATGTGGGCCATCGTTGCTTGTGTCATCAGGAAATGCCCTCCCTTCTTTATCATATGAACAATTGGTTGATGCATCTATTTCAATTCTTGGATTAAAAAAAAAAAAAATCTTCCTCGTGGACCTCACTATTAATTTTCACACTTGCCATGGGAAATTTGTTCTCAACAAACTTGATATCTCTTGATATCACAATTTTCTTGTTTTCAATATCATAAACTTTGTAACCTTTTGTTCCCAGTGGATAACCAACAAAAATTCCCGGTCTCCCCTGTAACTCGAACTTGTCGCTCTCGGTTTGTGTATTTCGGTAATAAGCTAAACAACCAAAAACCCGCATGTGATCATAATTGGGCTTTTGTTGAAAAAGGATTTCGTAAGGTGTTGCGTTATCAAGAACTTTAGAAGGAAGTCGATTTATTACGTAAGTGGCGGGTAAAACACATTCACCCTAAAATGTATTTGGCAAGCTTGCTTGAAAGCGAAGTGCCCGAGTCGTTTCTAAAAGATGTTTATGCTTACGTTCCACCACCCCATTTTGTTGTGGAGTGTGTGGGCACGAAGTTTCCAAGACTATACCTTCTTGTGCATAAAACCATGCATTTTGTTTGAAACGAATCCCCTCCCCCCCCCCCCCCCCCCCCCCTTGTCGCATCTTATTCGCTTGATTTTCTTACCTAATTGTGTTTTGACCATTTTGTGGAAGTCTATTAAACATGTGCTTGATTCATGTTTATGTATAATAAGGAATGTCCACACGGCTCGGCTAAAATCGTCTACGATTGTTAGACAAGGAAGGAATATGATACTTTCCCCAAATATCACAATGGATTAAATCAAAACATGCTATTGTTTTTACAGTACTAATGGGAAATCGAAGTCTAGTATGATTTGCTTTAAAACAAGCATCACACACTTGAGCTTGATTGTTCATAGAAACATTTTTAATAAAATCTAAATGAGATAGTTTCTTGTTTGACGGATGACCCAATCTTTTATGCCAAACCTCAAACGATGCCATTAAAGCCTTTCTTTCCTTCTCTACTGCCCCCATGCGGTAAAGCCCCCCTGTGCAATTACCCGTTCCAATCAAGTCCCTCGTGACCAACTCCTGTATAACAAAGAAATCAGGGAAGAACGTTACTGTACAATTAAGATCTTTTGTAAACTTTTGAACCGACAAAAGGTTGTAATTAAAATTTGGTACGTATAAAACTCCTTTTATTTTAACTCCTCCTGACAAGGTATGTTCACCCTCACCGTCTCCCCATTTGGCATAATGACAGGGGGTTCTTTTGACTTTGTGTTTGTGGCTTTATTTTCAAGAAAGTCACTTTTATGTGTTATGTGTTTAGTTGCTCCTGAATCAACGAACCAACCATTATGAGATTCGATTCTACCTGCCATATTCACGGTTGGAGACGCCTCGATGCTCATCACCTTCGCTTCTTCCCTGAAATGCTTCACAAATTATTGATATTATTCATCAGATAAACCTGGAATAAGGCTAGATACATGCCGCCTTTGGCTTCGATTTTTCTTTCTTTTCCTTCCCCGGCCACCAATCGGGGTAACCGATTCTTTTAAAACAACCATATTTGTTGTGTCTATCTCTCCCACAAAATGTACGCTTTTCAAGTTTTTCGTTGACAGGAGGTTTCGATCCCTTTAGCGGTAATCTGTTCGCTCCTTAGGTTTGCTGTCCAGTTTTTCGCCCCATGTAGTTAACCTGGAAAGCTGTAGCGGTCTTTTGGAAGCTCCGGTTATCGCTCTTTGCTGCTCGTCTTCCCAAGGTGGGTGTGGGTTTCATGGCTAGGATCTGAGTTCTAATGACCGAGAATTCTTCATCGAGTCCCATTAAAAATTCATAAAGCCGCTCCTTTTCTTTCGATTCATTTAAGTTGCTACCTATTCCACAACTACATCCTTCACAGGTACATCGTGGGGGTAGGAAGGACCAACTGTAGTTCATCCCAAACAGCTCTTAATTTCGTGTAATATGTAGAAACAGATGTCCCATTCTTCCTTGTGGCGCGGAGTGATTGCTTTAACTCGTATGCGCGAGGAGCACATTCCATCTCAAATCGTTCTTCTAAATCTGTCCAGATCTCAACTGAGGTATTTGCATACCTTACACTAGTTTGTATATCTCTTTCCATAGTTGTTGTTAACCAGCCTTTGATCATAGCATCAGCCCTCATCCACGCCATGTACGTTCCTGAGGTCTTTTCCGGTTTCTTGATCGACCCATCTACAAGTTCGATCTTGTTCTTCGCTTGCAGAAAATTCATCATCTCCTGTCGTTTACTTGCATTTGCTTAGGATATTCAGGCGGATGGATGTAAAACGATGAATTGACATCGATCATCTCTTCACCGTTTTTGCTTCCGGTGGCTTCTTTCTTTTCTCCTGTCATGAACGTTGTTGAATTTGATTTATGGGTTTTGGTGATTCGTCTGCTCTGATACCATGAGAAAATTGGTATAGAAGATTTTGATTATATTTCTTTTTATGATTCATAACGTGCAAAATACAAAGCTTGATAACAATGACCTAATTAACTTTAAGCTATTTCTACTCAAAAGAGAGAGATGACCATTAATTGAAAACATAGATAATGACTCCAAGTTGGATAATTGGTTCCTTTAAAGGAAAGCCATGTCATAAAGGAAGACGACACGCATTTGCATATGGTAACCTTACGACACACATTTACAACACACATTTACGACACACAATGCATATCATTAAAGCCCCTATCAAGGAAGACCATGTCATAAACGCAGACAACACTTTTTTGCTTATTGTAATTTTAAATATTAAAAAAAATATATTTATAGATTTACTAATTTCAACTTAAATTTGCATTTAATGTCTCATAATAAAAAATAAAATATCATATACAAAAATACAATCCATTGCATAAAATTTAATCTAATACAAATAATCGTTGGAATAGCAGGCAATTGTGAAAGAGATGAAATTCATCAACAAATAATAATTGAATTTTAAGAACTTATTGACCGAACTTATTGACCACCTTCACTGCATCCCAACTACTTTGCATGACACTATGTACATCAGCAAGACCTGTAAATTTGAATCATACAACCATTAGACTCACATAAACCACATTAACCCAAAAAAGACCATATTGCCCTTTTCCTTTAGTATTACACCAAATCTTCCATATAATTGTAATCTCTATCTTTTTTACATCTCTGATTAAGAAAAAGATTGCCATGTGAAGTGAAAGTGATACTTTTGTATTTTTATCTAAATGCATATGATAAATAGTTATACAAACATTTCAAGTCTTAATACTAATATAAATGGAAGTTTTAATCCAAATTAAAAAAAAACACTGAAATTAGATTAGTGCTTACGGGAAATGTCTTTCCTAATTTTCTAGGATTCTTGCCTTATTTTTTTGTAAGTCTTCTCTGCATTTCCAATTTAGCCTTTGGATTTTTAACAAATTTTGTCAGTAGGCATGCTAAATTTGCATCATATATAAGGTATATGCATGAATTGTCCACATCACATCCAAATAAAAATTATAGAAAAAATGGCATGCCACCATGCCAAAAAGCCAAAGGTTACAAAGTCGTTACCTAAAAAATATAACAAAATGGTTGAGCCCATTTATCTGGTATGTAATTTTTGGGTCTTCTACATTTGAAATTTCACCAGGATCAACACAGCTTATTGGCAGCAGTCCGATGAATATAAGCCAGTACAACTTATTGGCAATTCAATCCGATGAATATAAGCCAGGGGCAATCAAATCAGTGGTTCGGGGGTAATCCAGTCCGATGACTGTGGATCCAATGTGCATGCTTGTATATGTATTGTGGTGTGATGTATTTTGAGGGAACTCATTAAGCTTCGTGTTTATCCAGTTGTTTGTAATTGTTTTTCAGGTACCATTGACGACTGTGGGAAGACGAATGTATGATCATACACATTCTCATGTTGATTTATATTTGAGAGATTATTTGATACTCTGATTCTATTGATTTGATTTGAAAACAATGATTGATTATCTTATGGTTTTATGAAAATGTTTTTAATAAAAATGAAATTTTTTGGCATGGTTTTTAGGATGTTATCTCAAAAGGGTTAGGGTTTACTTTTACTAGTTTGTTATTGTGATTATATAAAAGATCTGTATTGGATTCCCCTCAAAAAATCATATTAGAACATCATAATTTGAAAACTCTACTGAATCTGTGTGTATTGTTATTTTATGACAATATTGTGTTTGGATAGAATTTTTGAAATATTAAGAAAAAATAATACATTATAGTAAATAAATCTCCATTGAATTGAATCCTTTCCAAGGTTCCCCTTTGCAACTTTAGTTTTTAACTTTTGGCTACATAATATAAAAATAATAGTATATTTTCAAAGTTGAAGGGGGTAAAGAAAAACTTTGAGATGTATATATATACGGCGATCGAGTTTTTCATGGGGAAAACACCGAGGGCTTTGTTGCCAACCATGAAGATGCTGCTAGAAGGTGAAAATCAACCAAACAACGCCCAGAAACGGATTCAAGAAATCCCGGAGAAAGAGGAAGAGGATGGAATTAGTGGGTTGCCTGATTGCTTGCTTCTTGAAATCCTCTCTCGTCTACCCTCCACAAAAGATGCCATTAGAACAGGTACCCTCTCCAAGCGATGGGCACATCTTTGGACTTGTGTACCTACTCTTATTTTTGCACATTACAATCATCCCTATCCCTGGTTCAGTTGTAAGTGCTTACGAAAGCCTAACTCAATTTACGATTTCGCTCGATCGGTGGAGAAAACCCTAACTCAATGTCGCCAGTTGAAGCTCAAGAAATTCGAACTGCGAACCCATTATGATATTCGATTTAAATCTCTGTTCAAGAATTGGATTCGTCATGCCATAAGTTGTAACGTTGAAGAGCTTAACTTGGAGTTTATGTTCCCGGATGAGTTTTGGTTAGATCAATCTATTTTCATCAATTCTTGTTTTACTGATCTGAAATTAGTAGGCTGCAAGTTGAATCCAAATGGAGCGATTAGTTGGAAAAATCTTAAGAGTTTGTATATTTCTTATATGAAATTAGATGAAGACTTGATTGTAAATATATTATCTGGAAGTCCTCTATTGGAAACTTTGGTGTTGGAAGATTTAGATGATTATACGGGGATATATACTACTTCAGATGATTCTTCAGATGATGAATCTGAAGCCAATATCATGAAAACCAATGCTTCTTATAGTTTATCACTAACTCAATGTCCCCAACTGAAGCTCAAGAAATTCAAATTGCTTTCCAATAATGATATTAAGTTGAAATCACAACTAAACAGTTGGATTCTTTATGCTATACGGTGTAACGTTAAAGAGATTTATTTAATTTTATGGACTCCTGAGGGAATCGAATATGAGTTTATGTTAGATCAAACTCTTTTCACTAGTTCATGTTTTACTCATCTGACATTACATAGGTGCATGGTTAATCCGATTGGGGCAATTAGTTGGAAAAATCTTAGGAATTTGTGTGTATCGAATGGGAGTTTAGATGAAGATTTGATTAAAAATATATTGTTAGGGAGTCCTGTATTGGAAACGTTGGAGTTAGAGGATTGCTTTGGTTACAAGAGGCTCGATATTACTTCAAAGAGTGTTAAAAAGTTGGTGATATCTGGATACAAGGATTTTAATATTGATAGATCTGAAGATGATGTCATCAAAATCAATGCGCCTAATATTCGATCACTAACAATCCAAAATGAAATAAATTTGTTGAAGATTTTGTTGGTAGATGTGTCTTCTTTGGTCAAAGCCGACTTAGATTATTATATTTGTGAAGGGATCTGGTATAACCACACAACTCCTAAAGAAGAGATGCTTAAAGGATTTATAATGAATCTTAGCCATGTCAAGGAAATTAAAATCGGGTTATTTTGTTCTAAGGTAAAATATCTTTTGCTTTTTTCCATTTTGGATAAATTTGTTTCAAATTATTTAATCACTAAATCGATTTGTCTTGTGACTTGGTATTGGTAGGTTGTTACCTGTTTGCAAGAAAAAGGTTTCATTTTTCCATCAAATGTCAAGTTTCCTCAAGTGGAAGAAGTCACCGAGAGCTTAACTGATTGGTGGTGATGCTTTAAGTTCATGTTTAGGCATATTAGTTCTTTTTTCAACTCCAACTGGTTAAATCTGTTACTCTGATTACTTTTTTTCTTTTTTCATTATCTTGATTTCTTTTGTTTTACAGCTAGTTAAATATTACTAGTTTTTCTTATCCTATTATCTTATTTTCTCCCTTGTTTTTTTTTTTTTTTTTTAAATAAAAATCAAATACTACTACGCTGCCATGAATTCTAACTTAAAAATAAGAATACTTACCATGTATAATCTTTTCTTTTATCGTCCGCTCAGCAAGTTAAATATTGCTAGTTTTTCTTAAAAATAAGAATACCTACCATGTATAATCTTTTCTTTTATTTTTCAAAGTACACTGCGTTTATAAGAAAAGTACTGAAAGTGTAATATTATATTGGAAACAATCGAAATAAGGAAAATGTTATCAATAGATGAGCAAAAGTACGTTGCTATTAAGTAGGAGTTTGATTCATACCATTCATGAAATTGGAGGCATCCAGTATACCAAATCCGTTATAATTTTTCATCATGAGTCACCTCATAAGACTCGCCATCAAGAGTCACCTCATTCATTTCTCCTTTAAACCAATCAAAAGAAGGGGCTCCCTTGTGATTAAAAAAAAGTTTGTGTCAGGAATAATTTAGTGTGGTTTAGTTGATGTGACCTATGTCCACACAGTAGGAGAGAGTATTCTTAATCACAAGATCAAATGATGACATCAGTAGTACTATTGAAACCCTAGCTACCAACTATATTTTATAGGCCGTGAATGGAAATGAAAACCTAAACAATAATATGGACCTGACCCTAGACATAAAACCCCTAATAGCTTTCAGCCTACTTCAAATAGTTATTTTATTGACAATCGGTGTCGGATTATTTTGGGGTTTCAAGTATCAAATCACACTTAACAATTTGCAACTTTGACCTTTCTAGGTTTCTTATGATCACTCGTTGATGCCTAACTTGAAGATGATAGACTTGTGAGGCTATCGCTTGATATATTTGTCTCCGTGTTTTAAACCTAACAACCACAAAAAAGCATAAAAAAAGCGAACCAAATATTATCATAAAACACAAACAAATCTAAATGGTTTAATAAGCTTTTATCAATTATCATTTCCATGAATCTAACATTTTTTATTTAGATTTATTTTTTAAATTTAAACAATTACTCTTTTGGTAATTTTTTGATCATATTTTACTTTTTAGTCGATAACTTTCACTTATTTCTCCATTTTTTTTTGTTTTATTTCTGTCAAAAGTAATTAAATATTGGTATTAAATATACTTTTGCAAATTTTATTTTCTAAAAGAAAGTAGAAGTATAAAATAGTAATGGGGTAGTAAAAATCAAAAGAGTCTCTGAAAATAGGAACAATAAAGCATAAACAGTCAAAAGTCTAAGAAATGCGACCTTAAAAATATAAAAGGGTTGGTGACTTGGTGTTGATGAATAGTGGGTTTGAAGTGACTAGGGTGTAATACAAAAAAAGGATCAAATGAAAACAAACGCAACAATTAGTTACATCAAGAGTCATTTTTCCTAAGAAGTACCTCTTGAATCAGTTGTATTACAACAATCTCTCCTAAATCTTTGGTGGGTTACCCTCAAGAATCATTTTCCCTACTTATTGTTAGTTGATGAAGTAGGTAAGTTTGAAGTTAAGGTTGTTACTATTAATACTAATTTTGGGGGGGGGGGGGGGGGTGATAATGTAGATGTTGTCTCTCCTAAATCTGATCCGACTGATGAAGTTGACCAGATCCAAAAAGAAAAAAATTAGGTTTAGAAAACAGGGGAATACATGTTGATTTGTTGATCTATTGTTGTTGGAAACTAATGGCAACGTTAATGGTTCTGCAACAATAGGGGATCACGATTGACATTAAAGTTGATAAAGATGAAGTGAATTTGGAGAATGGGTTCGATTATTGATCCTCTTATGCTGCTTGAGAGTAATAGCACTGCTCAGGATGTTAAATGGTCATCGTTGTAAGAACACAAGGGAAGAAGAACAAGTTGTTAAGAGCACTGAAACCGACACCTTTATTTTTGGAGAAGAGCATGATTAAAGCATTCCAAACTACCAATAACTAGGGTTCTAATTTGTCCAATATAAATTGATCCCATCGTGTAGTATTTTAATCATTCAGAACCAAGTTTCTTCCATTAAATACTTAGGCTCCAATCAATTGTTGTTCCCCCCTTCTTTTCCCCTGTTCTATATGTTTCTTTTACCTTGGTGCACAAGGTGCAAACTCAAAGTAGCCCCTTTGTTTACACTAACAAACTCTAAACAAAAAAAATCTTCCAAAAATACCTTTTATCCGTTTACTGCTTTGTTAACTCTAAAAATACAATTTACCCTTCTTCTCGTATATGTATGCTTGAGCCTTGAAAGGTGGCTTAGCATTGAATAAATATTTAAAGAGAGATAAGGAGGTTGCTATCTATGGAATCGTATGAGCAAGTCTAGGATATATATATATATATATATATATATATATATATATATATATATATATATATATATATATATATATACACATAGAGAGAGAGAGAGAGACCATCCCGATCTCATACCTACCCCTGACCTGAACTCCTACACGATTCTCCCCCACTTAGATTAGACTAAGTCCGCTTGGTTCATGAAAATTGAAGAATTCTCAATCCTTCTTACGTTCCAATAATCAATCTGCTGACGATCGGTGCTTACCAAAATAGTGAACCATAAGTAACCCTTCCCAAAATGACACAACTCCTAAAAACCACCTAACACTTCTTGTATCCCAACAACATCAATGACTTCAAACGCTTAAAAGCGATATCACGCTCAAATCTCGGAGTCCGGTGAACGGATAGTCTAACCAAAACCTCAGCAACAACTCTCTCTTCCCTCGGCAATCGGGATGGATCTTCCAAACACAAATACTAAGGCTACTGAAAACTAGTCATAATGTGACATCCCCAAAATCACATCCAGAAAAGACCGGTTTTTGTTTATACTTTATTTCAAAATCAGAGTAACCTTTTAATAAAAGAGTTGCGGAATTTGTCCCAAAACAATAATATCATAAAGAGTTATCAAAAACATTTCCTTAGAAATGTACTTCATTAAAAGACTCGGGATGTCATGTTCGATATAGTACATAAGTATAAACAATACAATATAAGCCTTACTACATTATTTCATATCTACAGGCCTATATCCGTAATCCCTCATCCCAACACATCACAACTATGCTCGAGCGCCACTACCTGTAACACATAAAACTGAGTGGGTCAGGCTTGGGAGCCTGGTGAGCATATAGGGTTTTCAACCCACAATAAATAAGTTTATTAATTTCATCGACCAACAATAGCCCGATTACCCGTTCCCGTTATCCTTACATTACGTCCCTAGACACCTATCATAAGGAACATATCCTAAGGATCATCATCGGGATGGAAACTACTGCTAAGGGGTTTCCTCAACAATAAATGTCCTAAAGGCAACCGTGAGGGGGATGGAGTACACCAGTGAACACATCGTTCACAACACCTACAGGTTGCGAGCCTGCCAGCGTTCCACTGGACTGTCTAGAAGAGTTCGTGTCATCTATACTCCGCTAGATGACTGGATCAACAACAACAACATCGAGGCCTCTCATCATTTTATCACACATCACCTATTACATCTACCCATGTTTTACCCCAACATTTTTGTAGATATAAAATACATATACAATTTAAATCATATAAAACTTGTATAAAATCGTTCATCCAACATAGATAGTGTAAAGCCCCGTTTATTTATTAAATAAATAAATAAATAAATAAGCGAATAGAAGCCCTAAAATAAATGATTATGTATGAAAGGATGGTCTCGAGGAGCTAATTGTAAAGATTTTAGAAGATGGGGATTGTTTGGTAAAAGATGGGACTTAATTTGAAGGGAATTTCCGAAGTTGGGGTTGCTTTGAAAGAATAAGGGTAGGGAGGGGCTGTTATGGTCCTTATGGCAAACTAAATAAATGGAGGCGGGTATTTAGGGTCCCGTAACCCCAACCCTAGCGCAAACAATGGCAGCCGCCATCTTCTTCACTCCATGTTACCGTTGCAGCCTCCATCACTCTCCTTCTTCACCACCGACGATGCTACCGTTGTAGTTACCGGAGCGAGCCACTGAGATCGTCGCTGCATCGTTGAGAACCGCTGCCATAATCTCCTCTGCCACCTCTGGTGAAGTCGTGAACGGATAGAGAAGCCCCACCAAGAATGAAGGCGGAGCTGTGACCGGCGTACGCAAGTCGTGTGCAGTTGGGATGCTCTCGGTGAGACTATCTCTCATCTCCTTCTTCTATTTTCTAGCTGTTGGAGCCTTAACCGCTGTTGGTCACCAATCAGTGGCGTTTTAGCGATATCCTGCCACCTTGTGGGTGGCTAAATGCGTATCTGTTGCCTTAAAGGTTCGTTTAGGGAGCTAATCGGGTTGTATGTGCGTTACTTGCTCGCAGGAATCAGGAGAACCGCTGCCACCACCGTGAGGTGGTGGCTATCGCTGCAAAATCCGCCGCCTGCCGCCACTCCTTCCATTTTCCGGCGTTGCTGCCATCGTGATCAGCTGCTATTGTCGCCGTGAGCCACCAGATGGGTGGCTGGAGTTTTTTTGTGACCATATAGCGGGTGTGTGTGCATGTATTTCTGTTAGTGCGTGTTTAGTCTAGCCGAAAATCATAAGAGCCGCCACTGCCACCACCGTGAGGTGGTGGCTGCCGCCATGAACCACCACTATGTGTTTATGTTATTAGTGTGTGTATTTTAGTGTATGTGTGTGTGGATAAATTCGGTATTTCACCTTGTAATTGTAAAAAAAAAGGGGAATAATGAAAAGAACTTGAAAACCACCACCTTAGGGTGGTGGCTGCCGCCACCGGCCGCCGTGTCAGGTGGCGGTGCGCTTTGCCTCTTGTGATTGATTCGTTTAGGCTTAGTGAAATCCTAATGGGCTCAAAGGAGCTCTAATGGGCCTAATGAAGCTTAGTGGACTATATTGGACCCAATAAAACCCTAATGGGCTTAATAATATTTTAGTGGGCTTAATAGGCCCATAATGCCCTAATTGACATAAAAGGCCAACAAATTAATAAATGGGCTAGTATTTGGGTTGGAAACC